GTCGTCGAGCGGCTCGCTGCAGCGGCAGGCCAGCAGGTTGGGGTGCAGCCCCAGGCTGCGCAGAGTAGCCACGCTGTGCTGCGTAGGCTTGGTCTTCTGCTCCCCCACGACGCCGATGATGGGCACCAGGGACACGTGCACGATGCACATGTTCTCGGCGCCCACCCTGGCGGTTACGGCGGTTACGAGGCGAGGGGTGAGTTCAAGATTGAGCAGTCGTTTCAGGGTTTGGGGATGAGGGTGAGGCACGAGGGACACGTGCGAAATGCACATTGTTTTTGGCTATCGCCCTGGCGGGCGCGAGGCATGGAGTAAGTCGAGATCAGAGGCGGTTGTGTGAGGGCAAGCCGCCCTGGCTGGTGCGAGGCGCGTTCTTTCATGGTGGTGGGGAGAGGGGGGGCCGGCGCTTGAGGGGCGGCTCGGCGGGAGAGCTGCAGCGGCGTGCGGCGCGGCTCTGGCCCCCTGAGACAGCCACAAAGCAGCCCGGCCGCGCCGCGTCGGCTGCGCAAGGGCCTGTTGTAAGGCACAGCAGGCGCTGGCAGGCAAGGCAGCCTGCCAGCAGCAGCAGCAGCAGCAGCAGCAGCAGCGGCAGCAGCAGCCGCAGCAGCAGCCGCAGCAGCAGCTGCAGCAGCAGCCGCAGCGGCAGCCGCAGCAGCAGCCGCAGCGGCAGCCGCAGCAGCAGCCGCAGCGGCAGCAGCAGCAGCAGCGGCAGCAGCAGCAGCAGCGGCAGCAGCAGCAGCAGCGGCAGCAGCAGCAGCAGCAGCGGCAGCGCCAACGGCTCACTTGAAGTGGAACTGCCTCAGCGCCTCCACAAAGGGCATCGACTCGATGTCACCCACAGTGCCGCCCAGCTCGATCACGCACACGTCGGGCACGCCGTCCCGGCCGTCCACCTTTGCGCACACAAGGGAGCGGCAGTGGCGCGGGCGGACGGGGCATGTGAAGGCATGAGCAGGATGCGCGCAAGAGCTGCTGAGTTGCTGCCTGCGCCGCTGCGCGGCTGGGAGGAAGCCAGGGAGGGGGCCTTGCCGCCTGCCGCAGCCCCCCCTGGCCCGCATGCCGCCGTCCGCCGCCAACCGTCCTGCCCTCGCCCGCTCCAAGGCGCCGCTTGGAGGCGCCCAATCCTAAGCCCCAGCCGGGGCCCGGCCGCGCACCGGGACGTGTGCGACGCGTTGGATCCAGTCTTGGATGGCGTCAGTGATATGGGGCACCACCTGCGGCGCAAGGCGAACACCGACAAGGGATGCAGCTGGGCAATTATGTCCAACAATCGAGCCCTCTCCCTGGCGCCCCCTCCGCGATGCCTGCGTGCGCCGGCGCCCCTGCCGCCACGAGACAGCCGCCTCTACGTGCCTAGAGCGCTTCCGACCGGCTACTCCAAACCGCACAATGATGTGCGGCGCTGCCGCCCCGGCCCAGGTGCGCGCATCGCATTTTGGGGGCCGGTGGCATGCGGCCCCCGCTGATCGGCTGGGTCGCACCACAGTCACGTCCGCTAGCCTGCAGTCAGCCGCGTAGGTGCATGTGCGCTGGACTGGCACCCCGCGCATCCCCCCCCCCCCGTTCAACAGCAGCGGCGCTGTCATCCCCATGCCCCACCTGCACTGTCTTGCCCAGATAATCTC